AGTTTTAATTGAATGAAAAGAAAAAACGGAAGGCAACTGTAACTGCTAACGTGATGAAGTTCGTCGTTTCTGGTTGAAAATATAACAGCAGCCCCTGGATATTAAACTTTTTAATTTGCCAAAATTACATATGTACATACCTACCATTTTTCTGATTGCTTTTCATATGAGAGAAATGGACTCATAAAATGAAACATGAACATAAAACTAATGTTTTATAATTGACAGCCAACAAAAGCTATGAATAGTTAAAGATTAACTTATTTCATTAGGAGGTTTTCATTTAAACTTTTTTTTTAATAACATTGGAATCCCCACAGAGTTTGTTAATTTGTTTTTATATATAATACTATAATAGTTTTCATTATAACAAATACTTTTTTGAGGCCATAATTTTTGAATGAAAGCTTTTGCTTGTTATTTCATTTTAACTCCGCCTCATGACTTTCCAATTGTATGCAAATTTCATTTGACGGGAATCCCTACAATTTATTTGCTGCAACTCAAGCTTCATGGCTCCTAATTGGCCAATTACACTTGCAATTCCATGAATACCTCACTAGCAAGACGAGTCAGCTCTATTTTTCTGGAAAATACCCGAGAATCCATCATCGATCTCCTTCTCATTCTGCAAGTCGCCTTTTCGAGGATGCTTCAAAGTTTTGTGAATGGCTTCTTGTTGGCTGTCTAAAACGTTTTGCTACAAAGTAACTTTGCTGTTTGTTTAAAGTTTGTTTTCCTCAGGTTGATAAATATTTAATCGTGAGGAATGGTAGGGGGTCTATAATGCAGAAGTATGGCAAGACGGCTATCCACTTAAAATGTAAATGGAAATACAAGCAGATGTTGGCGAAACATATTGGCGAGATGAATGCATTTGCATTTCTGTGTTTATAGTTACCAAGGGGCTCAGCCAAACGGTGTGGCAAATGTAATTTCGACATATCAAAACAAGAAAGTTTGTAAATACTGTAGGGAAGATTATACAGGGGAACAGTGAGAACTAATTAAATCGTTGTTAATATAAATTATTATCTTGTTTAAGCTCAAAGAAAATTTATGTTGACTGCGATTTTTATCCTCCACCGAGAGAGACCCTGCAGTCTCAGCTCAGTTTGATGAAAGCCAAAAAATAATTAAAACCAGCTGAAGTTTCGGAAGTTTGAACTGAATCCTGATTGTACGTTTAAAGTGCACTTTAGGTTCGCTGAGTTGATCGGATTACTGGGTCAGAGAGTACAGTCCACGGCATCACTGACAGTCACGCACACTGGCAACGTGACAAATTATTCAATTTGGGGATTTTTACACAATATTGCGCTCGTTCTGCCTTCTTCAATTTATATAAGTCTAATTACAATTGAGAGCTTCGGTTTCAACTGGACCGGTATTTGGTATGGGTATCAGTGGAGGTATGAGTACTACGTACATATTTTTGGGGTCGTTCGCTCACGCGGTCAGTGGACCCAGACCGCAGCAGGTTTATCTTTATGTTCTTACACAACAACTGCTCCTGACAGGATCAATTTAAATCGGCATGGAGACAGTCAGGCAGACAGATAGACAAAAAGAACATTCCGTTGCCAAAGAAAAAGATACACACAATCTGGGCGACTGTTTTCTGCATTTATAGCAGTTTAAGTTACAGATAATTCAATTAATTACATGCTGGGCGACCTCGACAGCATCGTTAGCCATCGACAGACAGTCGCTGAATTAATTTTCCCCTGCCATTCCAGTTCACTTTTACTTGCTCGAAACCAAAGTGGTTACTCGCTAATTAAGACTTTGTGGTTGCACAGTTTTTCCACATATTCCCCTGGGTTTTAAATTATTAATTCGTGGTTAAGCAGGTTGAGTCATAAAATTTTTTTCTACCCTTTATTATAAAGTTCTGTTAATGGTGACTAAAAATATAAAGATTTAAAACTTTTAATGAAAATATTTGTTTTCTGCAAAATAATCATAAGAGGAAATCAAGAAATTTTCTAATCTACAAAATGTATGACCTATTTTATTCTTAGAAATGAAACTACAAACTCAAGATGTCAAATGATTTCTTTCCAAGAATAATAACTTCGCCGAAAAACTTAATTAAAAAGTTTTAAAAATATATTTTCATTCTGAGAAAGTGCAATTTCCGGTTTTCTGAACATTACAACCACAGAGGACCGACTGTACCGCATACAATATAGTAATCATGTAAATTTCCCCTTTTTGCGCAATTGACTGCGACCTTTATTTATGGCGACGTGGCAATTAAAATGTTGTTGATTGGAAAGCAGTAAAGTGTAAGGAAAAACCCCTTAAAAGAAAAACAAAAGCCGGGTTCAATCTGAATCCAGAGCAACAAGTTGGCGGACATAGTGTGACATTAAACTCTAACTAGACCACTGGATGTGGTGCAGGTGGATGGCGGTTTGGTAAGCGGCACCATGGTGGGTTACCAGTTATGAGTTACCTGTTAATATGCAGCACCACCTGACTTACTGGCAAAACCAACCACACAGATTGCATTGACTGAATACTGAATTACTATGTATACATCTCGAATGCGCATATTATTATCCGGCGGAATTAGTCAATAAGCTGTGGTTGCCATCACCTGCTTATTGTTTCAGTTTATATTTCCATGGCAGAATGGAATTATGAGAACGGCAATTCAGAGCTCCTCTTAAACTCGCACTAATTAGGTATTTTCCAAGGCAGAACGAATCAATTATGAATTTCCAGTGAAAACAGTACCAATTAGGAGCTTGCTGTAATGAGTACAAAGGACACAGACCCGAAGGCGCCGTCAAAACAAGCTGGAAATTTGAGCATCGAAAGCCCAATTTTACTTTGACTGCCCGTTCAAGCTTTTCTGCAATGTTGGTTTTTCCAATCAGATTTTATGCAAGTGCTTACGGGCGGGTATTTCATGTTCATGTTCAACTTTGATCGAAATCCCCCAATAAGCGTGTAGTTTTTAAGAGCCAATTTGGAAGCTAATCTGCGTGTAAAGTTGAATAGGCTTTTGGCCAATAGTAAAATATTTTGTTAGAGGATCTCTTGATACTTTTACAAGTTTCCTCAGGCAAATGAATTGGTTTTTTAGGTAAAGTTTAGAATATCCCTTACCCTTCATTATTAAGATTTTAATTTATTTCTGAGTACATTTAATTTTCACATTTGTTAAATGGGATTGACGTAACGTTAGCCTTGATGAAGCTAGAGATACAAAATCGCCACCTACTTTTAAATAGTCATCATATATGATTATCTGTTATTTGCAGACAATTATCTAAGAAATCATAAAAAATCTGACTAAGAAATCTGGTACTGGCTTATGCTATTGAAATAGTGATAGCTGCTTTTCAATCTCTGAAACTAACTGCCTTATTAAATTTTAAAAATCTGATATTCAATTTTGTAAAATAGTTGATGATAAACAACTTTCAAACTAGCGAAATTCTAGATCGGGAATCCAGCTTTTTTAAGCTAAAACTGATTTTGTGACTTACTTAAATCCCATGGTTAAATCCCATGGAAATGCTACGCACGTGTGTGCAGGTGTGAAAAGCTCCGGTTCCCAAAAATAGCCCTCTCCCCAGGTATTATTATTTGTTTTTGGTTGCCAGGGAAGAGGCGAACCAAAGAGGAGCAAAAGAGGGCCAACACAAACATTTGTGGACTCAACTCACCTCATGGGCCTTGGGATGCTGATGCTGACAGTTGTGAGCGGTGGCCGAAACGAGGAGCCAACAGCAGATTCCAAGGGCTGCCAGGAATTTTGCCATATTCTTTACGGGGCGGGAGAGGGGGCCTTGGGCCATAATGTTTGGGGGTTGGAATATCGAAGCTAATTATAGAGTATTTTGCATTGTTGTGGTCTCCCTCGCATCCGCTAGATGATGAGTAAGCGTACGATTCTCAAAAAACCTTTTAGTTTTCAGTTTGTTTGGAACGGCATTATTGCCTTTTGTTTATATTACGCGTTGTTTGCTTATGTTTGCCAATTTTTCTCTGTTTGCTTTGTCAACCGCGAAAACCGGCTCGATTCGATTCGAGTCCCTTTCCTCTCACTCGCACACACTCTCACACACACACAGAGAGAACTATTGGGGCCTTTGGACTACTTTTTGTTTTTGTTTTCGGGTGGGTGTGTCCGCCAATCTTAGCCCAAGCCACAAAATAAAGCCGAACTGCAGTTTGCGGCAAAACCAAAAGCCCGCACTTAAATGTCAAATTCTCATGAACTGTCCGTGCAGCGAGTGCATTCTGTAGGATTCCCCGTTAACAGCCGGCACAGTGAGCCCTCAATAGTCGCGATACTTGAGCCTTTTCATTCAGCAAAATGATAAAAGCACTTGCTAAGGAGGTGGCGACGGAGTTCCGGCTGGGGTGCTCAAAAACACAAAATACGAGAAAAACGTCCGACGGCGACGTTACCGTTCGCTGGCCGATTTTGTTTTGAATCGAGTTTCTATATACAAACAAATATACACACTACATATATACAGAAATGTGACCAACTTTACAAAAGGACTATTGCTAGCCACCTTTTGTCTCCATTATTTTCTGGCCCAAGAGAAGCCACACTTTTTCTGGGTATCGATTGCTATCGGGTGAGTATCCCAGCTTTGTCAGGATTGTGTCTGTGCTATGTCTGGGATGCGTAATCGCAAACTGTTATAATATCGTCATGTTAATATAGAAGTATTTTACCTTAACATTTTGAAAATATGTTACTTAACATATGTACTGTTTTAAACAGCAGGAATGTTACTGCTATTGTTATATTTTACAATTAATGTTGAAAGACGTTTACAGCTGCCATTTCTGCCACTGTTAAAAGATTTAATGTTAACATTTCCGCTCAGTGTTCATAACATTTTCGGTGTGACCGCCCGTAAGTGAAGCAAAAATAGACAGCTGAAATGATTACATTGTCTCTGCGAGTCTGGTCTCTCGTATACGTATGTAACGTATGTTTGTATATAGAGACCCGATTTTACATAGAAACGCGATTCAAAACAAAATCGGGCAGCGAACGGTAACGTCGCGGTCGCTCTGCTGTCTGCGCGTGTGTGTTTGTGCGGGTGTGTGTGAAGATTGTGTCAAAGCAAATTGAATTAAGTTCCCGAAAATAAAATACAGCTAAACTGCCGCTGATGATAGTGCCCACTTTTGAATAAATAAAATTATGCTGAATTTAAGATTGTGAATGGGCGAAAGTAGCGCCTGCATATTAGAAAATACCAATAGGAAGGCCAAAAGTTCTGCAAAGCACAGAAAAGCGAGTGAGAGCGGGGCGCAAAAAGAGAAAGAGAGGCCCAACAACAGATAGCAAAACAGAACACCAAAGTCGTTCGCATCTGAGAGTAATTTCTGCCAGTGAATGTTTTAGCTCTTGATCAACGCGCGTTTTTTTTTTGTTTCTCCTCAAAAATCCAGTTATTTTCGAATGGTGCCTGAGAGTTTTCAAAAACATCCATCCCGTTTTTAATAAACCCCTCCGGCCTAATAAAATTATCTCAAAATTAAAAGATGCAGCAGGAAGTGTGATGTCACCACATTGGCCCCGCGGCAACAACAAGTTATACTATCGCCAGCAAAACAGCAAATATCGCCCTACATCCACAACAACAACAGCATTAACAACAAAGTCAGCTATATTGCAACGATCCGAAGATGTTGCGCTTGCATTTGTCTTTGCTACCGCTGCTGCTGCTCAACACATGCTTTCATCAACACATTTTCCAGCCGGCGGAAGCGACGGCGTTCCATCAGTCAGGAGAAAAGCCAAAAGGTGAGTCCGCGGAAAAGTCCTGGGGAAGACTGTTTACCCAAACACCCTTGTTGGTTCCCACTACTCTACAGGTGCAAACAACCAACATTGCCTTTTTAATGGTTTATGAATTTCACTTTTTTGGCCTTAAAGTTAAATCATTTTTTTAAGGAAAAGTTAAATAATAATAACGTTAATAAAAAAAAAAACAATTCGAATTCGATGTTTGGCAGATGAGGGTTTTAAAAAAGATAGCACATTTCATAAACACAATTCTAAAATATTAACAGATGTTTCCAAAAGCATTTGTGCAACCTCAAACACTCATATTTAACGTATCATATACCCTTTAATTACTAGTGCAACATTCTATATTTTCTGTTTCACAAATTTTTAAAGGTATCTAACCCCCAGATAATAAAATATTTCCCAGATTCACTCACTTAGTAATGATAGGGTAAAACCAACTCCAGTCAATATTCTTTGCTGCTCTCGAATCGAGTATGTGGCCTAATCAAGTTCAGCTAACAAACGCGCACTACAGTGGTTAAAAAAGCTCAGCAAAAGAATTGTCACAAATTTGGGTAAAAGAGATAATAAATTAAGCAAGTGTTGGTGGCACAAATAAAATGAGGAAATTAGTTAGATAAACTACCAGTTTGTGATTCATTCAGGGGTTGGGCTACTTCCAAATTAAAACAAATAAAAGCAATGGTCATTAAAATTATATTAAATAAAAACTAATGGCATTCCTATGTTTCATTTTAATGCAAATAATATTAAATATTTCTTATTTGTTATTTATAATAGCATTTTGTTTACTCACGTGTTACCTGAGTTAAAATCAGATAGTAAAGTTTTCTGTGGTTACTACTCGTAAGTTTTCTGAGAACTGTCGTGTTTATTGCCGTAAATCACATTTAGCAATTATCTTATTGACATATAAACAAGATAATTAAAGGCTTAAAAGCCATTACTAAAGTGAAAATAATTTCGTGCTACTTTATCAACTGATTGTCCTTTAATACCTAACCACTGTACTAACTCTTGTTGCCCCGACATGCCCTTCTCGCTTTTGTCAAACACTCGCCCATCTGAACAACCTTGAAAAACCGGCTTCTATTTTGTTGATATTGTCGGTGGCTTGGCTACTACTTCGACAAAATTCTCGCTGCAGTGCCTCCGGATTGCGACAGGCACAAATAGAGAGATAGATATATACCCACCCAAAAATGCCCACCTCGTACCCTGTGGGCCACTTGCCACTTGGTTATCTGTAGAGTGGCTTTCGCTTTGTTTTGCTCGTTTGGGATGAGTGCCATCTCCGGGGTGTTTGGCTATTGGCAGGTTGGACGTTTAGCTTATCTGAGTGTCGCTTTTATCAAAATCTCACGTAGTTTTGAGATAGAGAAGGCACTTATAGGACAGCACTTTCCATGCAAATTCACTGATTACCGTCACTCACGTAGCATTTAATTTACAAAACCCAAATGATTCGTTTGGCCCTTGCCACAAAAAGTACAAAAATACAAAGCAAAAAATCAACTCCAAAAGTAAAAAAAATCGATTTTAAATGCAGTGGCGTGCTTTACTTTTACTCTCATGTGGCAGATTTATCTGTCAGGTAAAAACTTTCTTCTTCAACTTTTTCCTTTTCCTCCATACAAAAACGCCTCTTTTGTGGGTCACAAATTGTTCCAGCGCTTCTTGTAATGTTTAATCTTTTTTCGTTTCCATTCCATGAATGTATTTACTTTTTACGTATATTTTCATTGTCATCAATTCTGGCCTGAAAAGGTCAGCGCCTTAAGCGCGCATACTCGAACCTCCATTCTGGCCAAGACTACACTTCTTTTGGCAACTCGTTTTCTTGTTTGCGGTTAGGCTGTTGCCATTGTTCGATTTTATGTTGCCAACTGCTGGCGTTTTCTTAACAATTTTTATGTCATTTGCGCAATTATATGGCAAAACAGCAACCTCAGCCACAGTCCGAAATGGTCGAAAGTAAGCGGTTGAGTGAGGTAAGACTCGTTACTCAAAATTGAGTAGGAGGTTCACTAGATAATTATCTCGAAAAAAATGTAATTAAGTGTTTTTAGCTCTAAGGAACATTAAATTATTATTTTTGTTTGGTTTATGTAGCAATCATCTGTTTGTTATTATACTTAATCTGTAATTATATATATTTCCTGTTCACTTTTATGTTTTTTAATATAATTCCCATGCCTTTCCTTAATATTCTTGAGGCACCAAGACATTATCAGACACGCCCCCGAGGCAGATAGTCTGGTTTGCTTTCTTTATCACGCCCTTTGTTTACCCAAGTTGAACAACTTACCATTATCTTTATCACGAGCAAAAGGCCAGACTGGCGGATCATTAATATGCGGCATTGTTGATGTCTTAAATGGGCTTGGCTTAGAGCGTGGGAGCCGAATAAACTTGGTCAGAAACCAGTATGTGACACTGCAGCAAAATGCAATAGCCTACACGGTTTTTACCTTTCTAAATTACATTTTAACTATGTGCTCAACCGACTGATCATCAGAATGATCGACTTAATTGAGGCTCGACTCAATTTACAATTTACAGCATTTTCAGAACTTAACTTGGACACCAAGCTTCTCTTGATTGAGTCAGGTCAAAAGAATTTAAATGGTTTGAGCTTCTCCGATATATGTAGTTCTTCATTCTCGGCCTCTCTGATTCTCCAATTCTCTCATTCTCAACTTACAACGGAAGCCTCTGAGCATGCATATATTAGTAGTCTTTCTCCTGGCCCGAGACTTTGAATTGAACGACATTTGCATAAATTGCGTCGCCTCATGGAACGTGTTTTGAGAGCTTGACAAAGGGGTATGTAGACTAGACTCCAGGAAATCTACTTTAAGACCAAGCTGGAGGAGAGGTTACCCCGCAGCAATTAAGAAATAATAGATGAATGAGGCAAACTGTCAATATAGTCGAGCAGATGGGGCACACAAAATGAAAGAACAGAGAACATTTCTTGTGACAAATTTTATGGAGATTTTATTTCGCCTAAAAGCATTCATTCAATAAGTAAAGGTTTTCCTTTTATTTAGCTTTCTTTGTTAAGAATAAACTGCTTTAATGTCACAAAGATATCCAAATTGTTCGAAACTAAACGAACTATATTTGTTATCCCCTTAATAACTTATAAATAAATCGATAAAAATGGATTTGCCTTGAATTGAGTGGGTCATTACTATATAATTGTGGCAAAAAGAAGACACGTGCACCGTGGCGGGCTCGCTGAATCACTTTTGACCTGGCCACGTGCCTGGGATTCCCCACGATTATCAGCCCAAAGTGAGGGGTTGCAAGTTACGTGTGTGATCATTGCCATGCGGAGATTAAGCCTAAATTAAAGTTGGTTTAATTGCACCACAAAAACGCAAGGGAGGGTGCAGGGTAAAAGTTTTGTATTTACCACTCTCGAAACAAAAACTGAAACAAAGTCACTTTTAGAGGGCAACTCATGTTATTTATGACTCTATTTCCCTAACTTAACCAAGGGTGAGTTTTCCAGACAAACCCCCTTTTAGGAAAAGTAATGCGGCCTTCTGCATTAGTCATCCAAAGTGGTAGAGAGTTGGTAAGAGCAATCACATTCGTGTTTGGCACCCTGTACAGCAAGGCCAGTAAGGAAAGAATGCCCCAAGAAAGCACTTGAAAAACTTTGTTTATACCAACAGCCAAAGGAAATCACGTTTGTTTGCAGCAGCAGCAGCAATTTCCTCTAAACAGGCAGCCAAACAAATAACAAAGAAATGCCTGCCGTGGGAGATGAAATGCAGTGAGGTTACACAGAGAAAATACTATACTATTATAATTATACTATACATTATTGGAAAGTTAGGTTACTTAATGGCCTAGCATATTTAGGTGGTTTAAGAATTGGTTTTTTAGAGAGCCCATTTGGCTCCAAGTGACCTTGTTACCACCTTCATTGCTTTCATCGTTACCTTTTGCCTTTCCTTTTTTAACACAGTCATTATTTTTTCTCAGTGCACTCCGTCAGGCATCAATTGTGGCTGGGTGCTGTTATTGTTGTTGTGCAATGCCAATGCAACGCTTGATTGGGAATTTTAAGACGGGGGGCTATAATGGAAAGGGGGGCTACAATGGAAATGGTGGGGTAGTCGGGTATGATGTAGAACGGGATTGCAGGGCAAGGCTGAGGTGAAGAAGAGCTGGCACAAGGTAAGCCCTCTCGATGATTAATCAAAATAAAAGAGCCGAGGGAAGCCGAGCTGGGAGATTCGAGCGGTTCATAGAACCGCAGTGAAAGGCCAAATGCAATCAAGTGAATAAATAATCATAAAAACGGAGGACATACCCGAGCTTGGGCATCTTAATGGAAAATAGCACTCTAGAGCAGCTCATTCTCTTTTGGTTTTGGTTAATTTATGCATAGAGCCATTGGGATTTTTGCTGTGCACTGACTAGCATCAGTAATGGGATGCGGCAGCAACAGCGGCGTCACAAAATATTCGCAACGGAAATGCGACAACACGCTACAGTGAATCCGGGAGCGAGCTGGATAGGTGCACTTAGGAAAACTAAAACATGTTTTTATCAACTCAAAAAAAATCAGAAAATCTCCCAAATTCACTTAAACTAAATATACACATTTAAGCTTTTATTGTGGTTTTAAAGAAATCTGAATATGAATTTTTTGAAATATAATTCCCATAATTTTATCAGATATCTTTCGGGAATCTTATTAATATTTTCTAAATTCTGAACATATATTTTTCAAACCCCTTTTTTTGGAAATTAAAGAACTTAAATATTAAACAGAAATGTCAATTTTTCTTGGCATTGCTTTCCGTTGAAACATTTATATGTTTTTTCTCAGTGGCAAGAAGAAACCTCTTCCTGGTTATGGTCACTGATTCGGATTTGGGTTCGTTTCGTGCCTGGACAGTTGCTAATTCACCTTTATTGTGACTCATTTGGGCACTTTTTGACTGTTGCTGTTGCAGTTGCATTTGCAA